ATTAGGCTGCGGTTATTCCCATTCTCATTTGGAGATAAAGCCAAGGGGTGGTTAATGGCATTACCACCGGGAACAATAACAACGTGGAATGATCTAGCACAGAAACTCTTGACCAAGTTCTTTCCTCCAGCTAAATCAACGAAATTGAGAAATGATATCACATCATTTCTACAAGAAGAGTCTGAGTCATTATATGAGGCTTGGGAGAGATACAAGGAGTTAATGAGGAAGTGTCCACACCATGGTTTGCCAGTTTGGCTTCAAGTCCAAACATTTTGTAATGGTTTGATGGGTAATGTGCAGACGATGGTGGATGCAGCTTCAGGAGAGGCCTTGCAGAAGAAGACACCAGAGGAGGCATGATATTGTTCTTTATAGTAAATCTTACTATAAAGAAATGGTTTGTTTGGTTGGGCTCATTTATTGGCAAAAAAGAAAGCTTATTATTGGCCAGTGGATAAGCCTATCAAAACATATTCAAAATTTAAAAAATATCCTCATACTATTTATAAATTTGACTTTATATATAGAATCAACATTGTATATACAAACTAATTATACACTTTCCTACAAATTGTTATGGTAACTTCGCATGTTTGACATATTATTTACTTTAATTTAAAATTATCCAATCACATTTAAATACATTAGTTTGTACATTTAGCTCTCTCTCTCTCTCTCTCTCTCTCATGTTTTTTTTTTTTCTCTTATCAAACATTTTGATAATTTTTATTATGCGGACTTTCTATTTTAGCCATTAAATGTTTTTATTGGTTGTGATTTATTCCAAATTTAAAAGACACACTTAGAGGCGGATTCATAAATTTTTGTTAGGGTGGGCCAAAATAAAAACTAATTCACATAACATTCATATTCTGTTTTTCTAGTTAAAATTGTCACCAAAAAAAAAAAAAAAAAAAAAAATTACATTTACTATTGTCCTCGGCGGGGCTTCATATTGAGGAACCGTTGTATGACCATCTCCTTATCAACACTGTCATATATATCTTTCTCAACATATGGAATTAGGCTATCATTCAAGAATTGATCTCTCATCCATTTGCCTAAATGAGTCTTCACAATTTTCATAGCAGAAATGCCCTTTCTACACTTGCAGTTGCAACTAGTAAGGTTAAGGCCAATGTGATGAGCAAATATATCAATGAGTAAATAAGATGCTTTGTCTTTTCAACCATTTTTAGAGCAAGATTGGTAATATGTTTATTCATGAAAAATCATTATTCAAGTGCATATCATCAATGTAATTATCAAGTTGAAGTTCAAGTGCCATAAGATCAGTAGAAGAAAATTCAAGTGGACAAAATTGAGCAAAAATGAACCAATTTTCCCTTATCAAATGCTTGAAAGCAATCACTTGGATTTGTAAGTAATTGATCTACCATACGCAGTGGAAAACAAAAATTCAATCGGTAAATCAATTACCTTTCTTTGCCTAGATTCGAGTATAGATTATACCGTTTACATGTTTATAAACAAAAATATGTATAAAGTAAATCCATTCAAGGATTAGAATACTTATGTACGTTTGGAGGCTTCTTCGAATATCTCTGATTTCGGATAGGAACACTGTTCACGGTTACTGTTCATCGTCTACTGTTCACGTGGTTTTTTGCCAATCGATCCAAAGTAGGATTGCACTCACGGAAGTCCACACGAAGATAATCCGCTAAATCCTTGATTATTTTGCTAGAACAATCAAGGGCTTTAAGAATCAAGAAAGAAGAACCAGAAAAGTTTTCTTTTTGAGAGAGAGAGAGAGAGATAGGGTGGCTAGGGTTTTAATTGAATGAATAATTCCCATATGTTTTAATTTTTAAGTTGCACTTATATAGTGCAACAATTAAAACCCTATTCCACTTAGGAAAAGCCTTGTGTTCCAACCATAGTTCACCTTTGCAACCAAACACACTCTTTATGGTATTTTAATTAATTAATTATTATTATAATTAAAATAAATTAATATATAATAATATATTAACATTCAATTAATAATAATAATTCATTTAAATATATAAATAGATATATTTAAATATAATCTCACTAATTTAATTTTAATATTAAAATTAAATATAGGCAACAACCTCAGCAAATTTAATTGCACTGTGAGATTAATAAAATAACATTTCGTCCTGAAAGACAAAAATATCTTTCTCACAAATTGATTATTAAATTATTTTCTAAGTGTGTGACCCGTAGGCTCCTTATCATATTGGCAGTGAGTAGTATCGCGATTAACACTAATTAATCGTTTCGCTACACACAGACCAAGATTGACCTCTAGCAAGACATCGTGGCCACCCGATAGATTCGAATTCAGCGAAACCGCGGCCTATCAACGGTTTGGTTACCGTGCAATCAAATCCTTTCATTAACTGTTATTTCATCGAAACTGAGGTACATAAATAGTATCAACCTCAGATATCCTCGACATGTTTGTATTCAGTTACTAGACTAATGACAGGAATATTAAATTGGATTGAGCATAAACTCAATCCCACTACGGCCACAGATTTAGTATGATTGCCATTTATTGAATTACCCAATGAGATAACTTCTCCCGTACCCGGGAGTGATGAATTATTTGTCGATCCACCATAGTCTCGATACACTTCTCAATGTAGCCAATCACTACCGTATTGATAGCTCTGAATAGAACTACGTTGGGTTAGTGTAAAACTACATCAATTGGTGCACAAGGTGCTCTGATGATCTCAAGTCTAAGGATCACATGCACCACCATCCGTTAAAGGATTTATTCCATAGACACTGGGGTTACCATCCATATGGAATCATCTGGTGGGTCTGTCAAGTGAACTTGCCTCTAGCAAGCACTCATGCGTTGTACCAGGTTGTCAGCAAACAACCTTGACAAGTGAGATCAGTCACTGCCTTTCGACAGGATCGTTCAACACTATGATAGCCTTACCGCATTATCTGTGTCCTTGGTCAGAATAATACTAGGGCTATGGATGTTTCCAGAATGGCTACCATATGTGATCATAGGGTTCTCACTATCAAGATTTGAAACACTTGATGCCCTCGTCACGGTTCTACCATCCTAAGGACATATATCAATACATATAATATGATTTACGTGATATAGTAGAATATTCCTTTTATTGATAAATAAACTTTGATTACATAGTCAATCTTTCAATAATTGATTGACTAGGGCACCTACTCTAACAGGATTTAGGGAGGCAATGCAAATAAGCAATTCTGTGTTACCTTCATTAAAATGACCGTTAAGCTTAGATAGTTGCAAATTTATTATGACATAGAACAACTAGACACGATAATGAAATAAATTTGTCATCTCTTGAACATTACATCACGATCTCCCTTGTGCAACAAATTTCTCTTCCATATTTGGCACATTTATATTATGAGTAATGCAAAAATGAGAAACATCAAGTAAATTATCCCATCCATTATTTCTTATCAACAAGTGAACCAAAGACATAACATTTATAATATCTTGATCGTTTCTTTGCAATGCTTGTGAAGTTCAAATGTGAATCCCAAAATGTTTTCATCATATGTAGGTTAAAAGCAAAATCAAAAGAAGTCATATAATCCACCAAATCACTTGCTTAAACTCTATTATCATAAGTTTCAATAAGATCCTCAAGCACTTCAATAACAAATGAAAACAAATTAATCAAGCTAAGTAAAGTCCCATAATGTGCAGTGGCGGATCTAGAAATTTCACTTGATGGGGGCAAAAAAAAAAAAAAAAAAAAAAAAAAAATTAAAACCAATCATTACCATACTTTTTTTTTTTTTTTTTATTAGGATGAGATTCAACAAAAAGTTACAAAATACAAATAAATATCTTCAAAAAACACAATTTTCGTAAAAATAAACTAATTTTTATACAATTGTCTTCGATGAGTTTTCATATTCTGAAAACGTTGGATAATCATCTCATTGTCAATTGTATCAAATACATCTTTGTCAATATAGGTGACCAAGCAATCATTCATCCATTGATCTCCCATTCGATTGCGTAGTTGACTTTTGACAAGATTCATTGCAGAAAAAGCCCTTTCAATGGTTATAGTCACAACTAATAAAACTAATACAACTTTTACAAGCTTATACACCAACGGATACAAAATGTTTTTTTTTATACCGAATTAAATTCTTAGCCAAATCATGAATTCCTTGTAACTCAGCAAGTCCATCACAAGAATGCATGTTAATAACATAAGTCTCAGTCTGGTTCTCAAGTACCATCAACTCAAGTGCAAAAAATCAGATGGATAAAACTGGGCAAAACAGATCAACTCATGCTTGTCAAAAGTAGAGAATGAATTACTTGGATCTAAACATGCCATACAAAGAAGCAGCTTAGTACTAACCTCAGTGAAATGAGTGTTAAGTTCTTGAAGTTGCATATCTATCACAATATAAAACAATTCAACTTGATAGTGATGCAAATTTCTCATGTGCTCAACTTTCCATCCTGGCTTCCCTTGAATTGCAAACATATCATCCATATTCAAAATGACAATATCATGCTTTTGGCAAAATGAAGAAACTTCACTCAACAAAGATTCTCATCCTTCATCTCTCAACAATTGTAACCGTTGTTTGGAAACTTTGACTAGGGCCATAGCATTTACGATGTCTTGATCTTTTCTCTACAATGTTTGTGACAACTTGTTAGTAGTTGCCAATATATTTTTCATCATATGCAAGTTAAATGTAAAATCAAAGGAATAGATTAAATCTAATAGATTACATGCTTCACCCCTTTGTTCAGGATTTGAACCATCTTCTTCAATAACCTCAAGCACATCGCCCATGGTGGATAACAAAAGGATTAAGTTGATCAGTGCATAATAATACGAGCCCCAACGTGTATTACCAGCTAGTTTTAGACCTATCTCTTGATTCAAACCTCGTCCCTTGCTAACTTCACCAATTTCTAGTGCTTCAACAAGTTTACTAACTTGGCTCTCCCGAAGCATGTCTTAACGCTTGCATGAACCTCCACCAACATTTGTCAAATTAGTAACCAAGTTGAAAAGCGAAGCAACAGAAATGTGATTTTTTGCAATGGCTACTAGTGTCAATTGAAGTTGATGAGCAAAATAGTGAACATAATAAACATATTCATTCTCCCTCAAAATCAAACTTTTCAGACCATTAAATTCTCCTTGCATATTACTTGCCCCGTCATAACCTTGTCCACGTAATCTTGACAAACTCAATCCATGCTTACAAAATAATGACTCAAGCGCCATCTTAAGTGATACTACTGTTGTGTCACTAACATTTACAATGCCAAGAAATTGCTCAAGCACATGACCCTTTTTATCTACATAACGTATGGCTATAGTTATTTGTTCTTTAATTGACACATCACGAGACTCATCAATCAAAACTGAAAATATGTCATCTCCAAGATCACTAATGATAGCCTTTGCGGTTTCATTTGTCGGAACATTCACAATATCTTTTTGAATCACTAGTGCTATCAATTTAAGATTCCCAGGAGCATTCTTCAAAACAATACTCTTAAAATGTTCATTGCGCTGAGCTAGAAAATGAAGAAGTCTGAGAAAGTTACCTTGGTTCTTCGAGTCTTCAGTTTCATCATGACCACGAAATGCCAACCCTTGACGCAAAAGAAATCTAATAAAAACAATGGATGCAGCCAAGCGAGTTCGGTATTCAATCCTAACTTGATCTGATTGCTTAGACAAAGCCACTTTGATATGTTGCTTTTGATTCATTAACTCCACACAACTCCGTCGTGCTTGGTTATGAGCACTATTTGGCTGGCCAACATGAATTTGAAAGCGTTCTGATTTCTTCCAATTACAAAATCCCTCACTAACGAAAGCGTTACTACCAGCTTGACTTATAATGGCAGTCTAAAAAGATAACAATACAAGCAGAATGCAATATCTTTGATCACACTATACTCAAGCCAATCGCCATACACATCAAACCAAGCAGGATTAAATCAACGATATCCTTTTCCAAATCTTGTCAATGGAAATGCATGACTTTGAGGTTGGCAACAACTCTTTTGCAAGTAAAATCTTCGAATTGCATCCTATAATTAGGATGATAATGATTGATTTTAAGCTGTAGAGCTGGATCACACGGAAGATCTTTTAAGATGGCTTCTAGTTCTACATGACTTTCTTTTAATGGATCATTTTCTTTATCATTGGCTTTATTTTCTTGGACTGATGAGGATGATTGGTCTATTGCTAATTTTCTTTTGAGAAATTTATCCATATTGCATACCTAATAAGAAGTTTTAAACAAATAAAACAATAAGAAATTGTACAAGAATTTTAACCCATAGTGATTTACATACATAGTAATGGAAAGACAATAAGACATACATTGTAACCCATAGTGATTTACATACATAGTAATGGAAAGACAATAAGAATAAAAATATTTAGTGGGTTTGAAATTCTTTTTAGACTTATTTAACATGAATCATGTATATTTATAGAAAAAAGAAGTCAACTCTTTTTAAAATGTCCCAAAAAAAAAAAAAAGATGAATAAATTATAAATGATAAAAATTTAGGTGTAATTACTTACTGAACATAAAAGCAAATAATTCTTGATTTATGCATGTCATTTTATAATTCTTGAAGAATAGGGAAAAAAAAAAAAAAAATTCATAGAAAATGTTTATAAAATTTGATTTAGTCAAGTAATTTAATGAGGATGAAAGAAAAGATATATAAAAATTGATTGCTCAAGCTAATCTTTACAAACAATAAATAATTAATTGTTTATGTTGATAAAGTTTAAAAAGTTTTTGGTATTGTCAACAAACTTGTTATCAAATAACTAATATTTTTTGTCCTTTTTTCATTGTGCTTGATTAAAAATCTTAAATATGCATCTTTTAAGTTTTTGTAATAAGTTTTTTTGTTTTGTTTATGTTGATAATAAGTTTCAGTAATAATTAGCTGTTTATGTTGATAATAAGTTTTTGTTGTTTATGTTGATAATAAGTTTTTGTAACCTAAACTTGTTATAATTGTTGCATCTTTTGGTATAACTTTCAATTGCATATTTGCTTTGAGTTCAAGGAGAAAAACAAGGCAAAAGAGAGCATTGAGGTTTTGAAAAAATCTTATGTAGTTTATTTAATGCAAGCCAATAGCCTTTTGCCATTTTTGTGCTTTGTGGTTCCTGGATCATATTTGTATTTATTTGTACCAATGTTCTGAGTATATGTATCAAATATTCTCACAGCTGTCAATTGTTTCAATGCTCATTTTCTTTTCAAGAATAGACAAAGATCTCCCTACAACAAGAAAAAAAGATTTGAAACTGGTTTGTACTTTGTTTAACAATAAACATGTGATCGCATTACAAACATGAGAGAAGCAATAAAGAAAACATCAAGGCACCACAAAGCACAAACATCAAGCGACCACAAACCACATAACTTATAATTTTTTATAACTTATAATTTATTTGCTACAACAATGATAGGTTTTTTTGTATTTTGCTTTTTGTTTTTAATTTTGTGTAGCACCAAGAGATTGAGATGGAAGAAACTAGGGAATGCCAAGAATTTGTGAAAAATTACATCAGTGTTTTTTTACTAAACATAAACAATAATCAACAACAAACAACCTAATTATAAAATAAACAACCACATAATTTATTGTTATCTCATCAACATAAAGATATCATCACTAAATTATCAATTTGATTTATGGATAACATTATCTCTTAAAATCATTCAATTATTTCTTGATACCATTATTGCTATTAATAATAATAATGACATTAAACATAGTAATGAAAATGATCATCTGAATATTTCTTTTTTCAGCAAAAAGGACCTCTTTATTGCTTATAAGAGTCAAAGAGTCCAGAAACAACACAGAAACAATGACTGCAAGTTTGCAAAGAACCACAAAAAAAAAAAAAAAAAAAAAAAGGAAAATCTTGAAACAAAAGAAACTAAGGTATGTAAAAGTGGGTCCACCCTTCAAACATCTCATAACTTTCTCCACCTTTCCAGTCAACATTCAGATCTTTATCACAACTCTGCCAATAAATATGAATTCATTTAAAAGAAAACATTGCAGCAGCCCAGCATTGGATAAACTCAAAACTACGGTCTTCAAATGAATATATTATTTCTATTCTCATAAACAAAAGCCAAATATATCATTTACTTGTATAAGCTTCTAAATTAAAATTTAAAATTTAAGTTAACAAGATCATTATTTTAATTAACTGTTTTCTTTCTTGCAGATACAAACATAGAAACTCTAAAAAGATGGTTATATGAAATTTTACAGCATACACACAACTATTACTAAAATCTCAAATTCTCAATAAATAATACAAGTAGAACGATAGCGAATCTCTATTTTATTGGAAGAATGCAACAACAAAACATCAATTGAATAGAGAAAATTAGGGATTTAGGGTTAGGGACATTACCTTTTGATAAATTGATGAAAATTGAAAAATAGTGCCGATTGAGACTTGGAAGGAGAGTTCGGTGAAAGAGACTTGAGAGTTTAGAGCACCTGCACCATGAGAGAAAGAGGCAAGAGAGGTTCTGGGTTCGTACGGCATGCATTGCTGTTCTGGTAAGAGTCCAAAAATTAAAAACAAAATCCCATTCCTTTCCCAAAATATCAAAGTTCTATAGGGGCAAAATACAAATAAATATAAATATATATATATAATCTGAAATTTTTTAAAGTTTGAGTGGGGCCGTGGTCTCCACTCATCATTAATTAAATTCGCCATTGATAATGTGAACCCCACTATGTTTCCCCTGACCGCTTAAGACTAGTATCTTGATTAAGGCCTTGCCCTGTTGAAAGCTTGCCACTTTCAATAGCTTTTTTCACCTTCAAAGCTTGTTTCTCATTAAGAAGATCCTAACATCTAGGTGAGCATCAAAAAAAGTCTGTCAATAGTTGTATCCTTCTTTGCCACAACTACAAGTGCTAGTTGATGTTGGTGAACAAAACAATGAACATAGAAGGAATATTCATTATCTTTCAATATAAGTGCTTTTAATCCATTAAACTGACCTCACATATTACTCGCACCATCATAATCTTGTCCACATAATCTTGAGATGCTCAAATTGTATTTAGAGAACAATGTTTCGATTCCCATCTTTAGTGATAAAGTCGTAATCGTGACATGCATAATGCTCAATAGAAGCTCAATAATACATCCTCTTTTATTTACATAACGTAAGATAATTGCCATATGTTCTTTGTTGGATTCATTGCGAGCTTCATCAACTAATATAGAAAAAAAAAAAGCACCTCCAAGATCGCTAATTAATTTGTTGATGGTTTCAACTGCAAATGCATTGATTATGTCTTTTTGGATACTAGAAGCAATCAATTTATCATGTTCAGGAGCATTCTCCAATGCTACTAATCTATATTCTTCATTTTGCTCAACTGTATAGTGTAAAAGTTCAAAAAAAGTTTCCCTGATTCATTGAATTATCAGACTCATCATGGCCACGAAAAGGCAATCCTTGCCGAAGAAGAAACCAGCTAGCAGAAATTGATCATTTCAACCGAATATGATAATCTTCTTGCTGTTGGTAAGATTTCTTATTAATAATTGTACTCACATGTTGCTTTTGGTTCATCAGAGCTTGACAATTTTTCAAAGCTTGGTTATGATAGCTATTAGGACCTCTAATATGATATTTAAAATTTTCAAGTCTCTTCCAGTTGTGAAACTCATCAAGAACAAAGGAACCACCGCCACTTTGCTCTCCTTTATCTAGTTTGAAAAGATAACAACATAAACAATATTCAGCATCATTCTCAACACTATATTCCAACCAGTAAGGATATTTGTCAAACGTTGGAAACTCTGTTCATGATCACCAAATTTTGATTTGGGAAACTTATGGTCGCGAAGTTGACAAGGACCCTTTTGTAGATAACACATTCTAACTTGATCTCAAACATTTGGATGATAAAATGTAATTCTTGGTCGAAATCCAGAATCAGAAGGAATATTTTCCAAGTCAACTTCGAAGCAATTTTTCTTTGAAGAAGCTTGGTTTTCATCATCATTGACACCAGAAGAAAGTTGAGATGTCTCAGCAATTGATTTTCTTTTAAAATATTTTTCCATATCTAAACACAAAGAAATAAATTAACTCACGAATTGAATTCTATAAAAACTATGGTTTATTATTTTGGATAGGATTTTGGGAATAATATTAGGTAGTTGAATAGGGGAGCATTACGAGGTAAAATTTAAAAATTTCTAAAAAACCCCATAGGTTTGCTAATTTAATTAAACATCCCAATATATAAAAATTGTGTAAAATGACAAAAACACCCCCACCACCCGCAGTGCCAGATTTCGGCCACCACTGTCAGAATCTAGCCGAAAAATTGCGTTACAACACAAACCAGTCGGATTTGTGTCGTAAAGCGTCGATATGCCTTTTCCGGCCAGATCCACCACGGATCTGGCCGAAAAAGGCCAGATCTATAGCCAGATGTGGTAGTCGATTGCCGCAAAGGTCCATCTTTGGCCGTCAGTGACGGCCAAAGAAATGGTCGTCATTGACGGTCAACGATGGCCAAATCTGGATCTGGCCGGAAAAGGCCAGATCGGTGAATAACCGACAATTTTCGGTCATGGTGTAAGCCGTTGTGACAGATTTCGGCTACCATCGACGGTGGTTGCCGGAATCTGGCAAGTATGGGTGGGTGGGGGTGTTTTTGCTAATTTTTAAACTATTTTTTCTGGGGGTATTTAATGAAATTAATAAACTTAAGGAGTCTAAAAGTAATTAAAAAAATACACTACTATTTCTCAAATAATGTGCCAAACAATATTTGGGGAATATGATTGAGAATATAGGTACAAATATTGAACCAAACGCACTAAATTTTCCAACTATTCTTTACCTTTTCCATAGTATTCATCTAAATAATTATTGGTCTTAAATAATCAATCACAATTATGTCACTTCTTAATGTTCTATTAATTTAGACCAAACTCAAAATCTTTAAGCTACCCATGCTATTAGCATTTTATCAACTTTATTAGAAAATTCATTTAACAAAATTCATCAATTCAAATTAAAACCATAAAACAAATTAAAAAAATTCATCAATTCAAATTAGAGCCATAAAAGAAATTAAAAAAAATAATAATTACCTCAATCCTCAAACAAATTGGGGTCAAAGTGAAGCCACGATTTGAGTATTGTTGCCTCTAGAGGTGGGCAGGGACCGGTCCCAAGCAGGCCCAGGCTTGGGCCCGTTTGGGACTGGTCCCAAATGGGACCAGTCACTCATGGGCCTAGGACCGGTCCCAGGCCCATGAGAAAAATTAGGACCCGGACCAAGCCTTAGGCCTGGTAG